CGCCAAGCTGGCGGTCAGCCCATCCATGGACCACCTGCTGTCTCTCAGCACGTCGGCCTCTAGAGCGCAGTCCAGCGCCAGCCTGGCGTCGGTGGCAGAGGCGGCGGAAGGGCCTGACGGCGCGGCGGCGGCGGCGGCGCTGCTGGGCCCGCCCGCGTCCAAAGTGCCCTGGGTGCTGCCGCGGTGATGTCCGCGTGCCGGCTGGCGCTGCCTGGGCACGAGCCGGTGCTGCCGGGGGCATGAGGCAGCCGAGGAGCTGTCCCCGGCTTGTGCGGCCTCCAGGCCTCAGCTGCAGCGGCCTGACAGCTGGCGCCTTGGCTGCCGCATGTTTTCCGGGCGGGAATGTAATTGCATCCTGCCGTGAACGATCGCAGAGCTTCAATTCCACGGCAGGCCTTCGCAAACAGCGGCACAGGCAGCAAAGGGACCACCTCATGCCAACGCATGGCGTTGGTACAGCACAGGCCCCTGCAGCTCCCACCTGCATCGCTTTCGCATGCCAAGCGAAGAAGCAGTGCTCCGAAGCCTAAACGCGGTGGCCTGCTGTCTGTTGCTAACTGGGCTGCGTGGCTGGCTCTACGTAACCATCTCAAATGCCCGTGCATGGGCCATGCAAAATTGGAAACTCGGCGGCAATCCCGCAATTCTCACTCTAGACTGGCTTCACAGGCAGCGCTGGAGCACGCCACCTGCCGCATTGCAACCGGGACGGTGGGGCACTGGCAGGCGGGTCCGAGGCTCCCTGAGCGTTCCCATCCACATCCGCACACACATAGGCATCGAGTATAGTAGCTGCAGGTGAGGGCCGCCGAGGGGCCGCCACTTTCAGGCACGTCGCCTCTATCTGGGGGAATGGTGCGTTGGCTTTTGGGGCGGCCTTTTACTGCATTTGGGCCGTGGGAATGGGTTTTGGTTCGAGCGGCAACGCATCTGCAGCACTGATTGAGTCATTGAAGGTCGGCAGGGGGGAGGTGTTGCGCCCAGGCCTGCTGGGGGCAGGGCGGCTGCGCTGCGGGGGCGGGGGTGGCTCCTGGATGTGCAAGGGACTGCAGGGGATGCATCCAGCGCCTGCCGCATCGGTTGGTCACAGCAGCGCCTGACGTGAATTCTCCCCCGCTCCGCATGCCCCTTGGGAGCTGCGGCGGCCGCTCAGAATTGGGATTTGGGGATCGGGGAAGCCTGTGTGCAGCCCCACCCCGCCGGGCAGCGCCTCTGCAGAGGTGTAGGCACCCTTGCCGCCGCTGCCGCCGCCGCAGTGTGCCCACCCCCACCCAGCTGCCAACACAGCCTGATGCCATGCCGCCACCCGCACCCCTGCGCAGGTTCTTGCCTGATTGGTGGCATCACAGCACCGCCACGCCCTTTTTTTCCACCCGCGGCTCTCCGGCGCAATAGTGCGCGCCTGTGCTGGGGGCGCGTTGCATGGACGTGGGGCCAGCCGCAGCGCGACCCATCCTCCTGAGCAGCGCGGCACCAGCGCCAGGTGCGGAGCAGCAGCAGCAGCAGCAGCAGCAGCAGCAGCAGCAGCAGCAGCAGCAGGAGCAGCAGGCGAGGGCCGGCCTGCCGGCAGCGGACGTGGCACGCCTGGCAGCGACGCAACCACCCACAGCCACACCAGCAGCTGGGATCGACTACCTCACAATGACGCAGCCTAGCAACGCGCAGCCGGACAGCAGCACCCCCGAGGGCGCGTCGGCGGCCCCGCTGCCGCTGCAGTCGCAGCAGCACGTGGAGGCGCCCGCGGTGGTGGCGCTGCCGCTGCCGCTGCCGGGCGGCGGCAAGCCGCAGCTGGCGCTGCCAGGTGGGGGCGCGGGCTGTGCTGCGCTGCTGGCCGCGGCAGCGGCTGCCGGCTGCTGTCGCCGCGGCCGCATGCTCCCGGGCCGCATGCTGGCCGCATGCTGGCCGCGTGCGCGCGCCGCGCTGCTCTCCCGGCGGCCCTCCGCTGCGCGGGGCCAGCGCTCCAGCCTGCGCCTGCCCCCACCCCATCCCTGGACCCCAACCCTGGCACCTCCTTGCTGCCTCCCTCTCCTCTGACCCCTGCCCCCCCCCCGCGCTGCAGTCCCCGGCGGGCTGGTACCTTCTGGCCTGGTCCCCGGCGTACCCACCTCTGAGAGCAGTACCAGCGTGCTGCTGGGGGCCAGCCACAGCCCCGACACGGGCCTCATCGCCGTCTCCAACTCCTCTGCCAGCCTGGCGTCCAGCGGGGCGGCCGGCGAGGGCAACAAGACGCTCTACCTGGGCAACCTGCACCCCTTTGTGACGGAGCAGACGCTGCAGGAGGTGTTTGCGGGGCTGGGCGGCATCACCGAGCTTAAAGTCATCAAGGACAAGGCCACTGGGGTGTCTGCGGGCTACGGCTTCGCCAAGTTCACGGGTGGGTGGGGCGGGGAGCGGTGTCCACCGCTGGGTAGTGGCGGCGCGCGCGCGCTGCCAGCCGACTCGCACGCGCTTGCCGCCCGCCCGCGCGCGCATGCCGCCGCGTGCGCCGCGCTGCGAGGGCTGCCGGCGCCGGGGCCGCGGCTCTGCTGCTGTGCCGCCGTCAGCCCTCCGCCGCTGCCCCGCCCGCCATCCTCAGCCCGCTGCGCCCCGCTGGCCTCCGCCCCACTCTTCACGCCCCATGCCCCATGCCCCATGCCACTCCCGCCCTCTGCCACCCCCGCAGACAGCAGCAGCGCGCAGGCGGCACTGGACAAGGTTGCCAAGACGGTGCTGTTTGGCCAGGAGGCGCGCATAAACTGGGCGTTCCAGAAGGAGCAGAAGGAGGAGGTGGCCACGCACTTCCACGCCTTTGTGGGCGACCTGAGCTCAGGTGGGTGCGGCGCTGCTGGCTGCTGGCTGCTGGCGGTGGCGGTAGCGGTGGTGGCGGCGGCGGCGGCAGCGGCGGCAGCGTGTCTGTGCTTCTCGAGTGTGTGTGTGTCTGTGTGCGTTGAATGCGTGCGTGCGTGAGTGCATGTCTGTGCGTGCTGGAGTGCGGTGTGCCCGGGCTGGGCTGGCTTCCGCACCGCCGCCGGCGGCCCGCCGCGCGCGCCCCCGGCCGCCGCGTCAGAGACCCCTTTGGGGCCCTGCGCTCCCCCGGCCCTCGCCCAGCCCTCGCCCGGCCGTCGTCCGGCCTTCACCCGGCCCTCACCCAAGTCCTCTTCCCCGCCCCCACGCCCCGCAGACGTGACCGACGCCATGCTCCACGGCGCCTTCCAGAACTGCCCCGGCTGCAGTGACGCGCGCGTGATGTGGGACCACGCCACCGGCCGCTCCCGCGGCTACGGCTTTGTGTCGTTCAGGCACCGCGAGGAGGCGGAGGCGGCGATCCAGGTGGGGTGCGGTGTGGGGGCTGGCGTGCTGGGGCGCGGGCGTGTGGGAATCCGCTGGCGGGCGGGCGCGGTGCAGGTGCGTGGGGGCTGGCCTGCTGGGGTCGGGTGTGGGGGGTGTCTCGGGCATGGCAGGCGCAGCCTGGCACTCCCGTGCGCGGCGACCCAGAAC